TTTTCAGAAGTTTTTATTTTCTTTCAATTCTTGTAGGATTGATTGTGTCAGTAAATTTTGTTAGGCTTGCCGTTCTCAAACTCAACACAAATTAGAATATGACCAGAACAACAAATACAGATTTTCAAGTTGTGTTAGAAGTAAGAACTGTACTATTCTTTATGTATGGCAACGCAATTTTTATACAATTCAAGAAAATAGTACAAGATTTTCCTTGTCAAATTTCGGCATTTGATGTATTTTGGCATAAAAAGAATAAATACAACTTAGCATCAAAATCAGTGTCCGACCTGAGAAGTGAGAAAAGAGATTCTGGTGATGGCAGATCACATGTCAGCAACAGACCATAGATATGCCTCTCTTTCGGTTGCTTGTTTCTCGCTCGACCGTTTGAACATTTGTTTCTCATAGCCTATGAGAGACGTAGCAAAACATAGTATTATTGTTACTAATCCCAAAGTTCAATAAATATATGTATTTTTTAAAAAAAAATGCAGAAGCAAAAAAAGGCAAGCCAAGTGAGGAGTGTACCGTTACTGCGGTCAACGCCATCCCAGTGCCGCCCTGGTTTGATACCATACCGATTGGGTGCAGCTTCCAACCCTCTTCGAATCCAGCTGTGAGGGGGGATTTCCTGAGGGATTATGAAACCAGATTCTTTCATTTTATCATCTGACCCTAGGTCAGGTAGGAGAAGAGCTTGATCCGCTTGTTTCTTCTTCACCAAATGGGCCATGGGATCACCCCACCTCAATCTCTCCTTGAGCATATTGTCAAGGTCAGGATCATCTCTGGAAAGTAAAAGAATAAAAGCACAATGCTTATTTAGAATCCCCTTAAAATGGGTCATAGTACAAAGTGAAATATCACAAGAAAATCAGCAATCACTAGTTTGAAAACCTTACCTGCTCCGGGCAAATGGCTTATTCTTCTCGTTCTCTAATTCCTGAAGCCTAGCCTCCATCTCACGCTTCTGAGCCAAACCCTTACCCCATTCCAGCTTTATTTCCTGATGCAAAGATGCAATAAATCATTTCATGAGTACAAACCACGGATGACAAGTAATGAAATTTAGTTTTTGGTATAAAAGAAGCCTCCATTCATGCAGAAGTGCAAAATCAATTCTGCATGCAAACCAACAAAAAGCAATCATCAATCTCTTGGCCAATAATCAACAATGTGTTTCTTTAATGCAATTTAATTTTAACATAATCAACAATCCGGGTTTAGAATATCTACCAATAGTAATAAGGTATGATATTTAAGAGATAATACTTGTACCAACTCAGGTTAGGTTGCAAAAAATCCAAATGGTAATGTGAACATTAACGATTACTGTGATGTTGTTTTAACATTTCTAGTTACTATGAGTATAATATAATCAGACATGACACAGCAAACCTAGTTTATCTGCTCCAGACCACATTATATGTTGCAGGAGTGTCAACCTTTATCCTGTTGCTTTCAAATGTTTTTTTTTTTGCTCTAATGATTTGTATGACCTACTGATAACTCAGTGAATTAGTTCAGGAAATGGAACCAATGGCCTCATAGATGCATTCGTCAGGATTGAATGATTGATTACAAGAGTGACAGATCTAGATAGGGTTAGCTCCTTTCCAAGTAAAATATATGGTTTGAATCTCATCCTCCAGAGTTATAAGAATAAAACAAATTGAGCTATAGTATCAAGTATTAATGTTGTCCATGTGTGCTATATAATGCAGTGCTATGATTTTAAAGTGCATTTGTTCAAAATGACATTATGGCAGTACCTTAGGCTTCTCCTTCTCTTTCTTCTTATGAGACTTCAAGAACTCCTCCTTAGATACTCGCTCCCCTGCAGCATTAACAGTGAGGTTACAACACATTAGCATTTATCAAGTGATATTAACTTGTTTCCATTCTTTTTATATGCTGACCTGTTACTTTATCACGATATACTCCTTCTGCACCCTTGCCACTAACTGAAGGATCCAATTCCTTAATCCTATAAGAACAGAAAACACATTTACTGCCGACTCATTTGGAAATCCAATCGCCAAAAGAGGTCCACACTACAACCTCCACAGTTTGTGAATCTATATTTGTCTTGACATCCAAGTTCATGCATGACAGCATGAGGTAGAAAAATAATACTAGTAACAAATAAAGAAGTAAATACTGAAGGGCAAAAAGTTACCTCAACCACTCCTCTTTCTTTGTTTTAGCAATTTCATCTTTGACATCCTTGGCAGAAACCAGACCAGTCTTTGGCCTCTGTTTTGCTGCTGGCGATTGAGCTCGTATCTTCCTTGGTGGAGATAAGTCTATATCAGATGTGTTGTCATCATTTACAGAGAACTGATTTTTTCTTTGTTCCTGCAGTGTTGGTGACACATCACCATGAACTTTCCTGGAAGATGAACGGCTTATATTGCTGTGTTTGCGAGGAGGTGACAAATCAGCACCTTCCCTCCCAGAATGCATGAGATCACGTTCTGGTGAAGACGTACCATATCTAGCACTTCTTCTACGAGGAGGTGAAACATCACCACAAGTGTTGCTTGAAGGTGTATCACTCCTAGCATTGCGTTTGCGAGGAGGTGATAAGTCTTCACCCTGCCTCCTAGATTGCATAGATTTGGGTTCTGGAGAAGGTGTATCGTTTCGGGCTCTTCTTTTACGGGTTGGGGACAGATCATTTGCAGGGAACTGACTTTTTCTTTGTGTCTGCAGTGGTGGTGGTGACACATCACCATGAACTTTCCTGAAAGATGAACGACTTCTAGTGCTGTCTTTGCGAGGAGGTGACAAGTCAGCATCTTCCCTCTCAGAATGCATGAGATCACGCTCTGGTGAAGGCGTATCATATCGGGCACTTCTTCTGCGAGGAGGTGAAATATCACCATAAGCGTTGCTTGAAGGCGTATCACTCCTAGCAGTGTGTTTGCGAGGAGGTGATAAGTCTTCATCCTGCCTCCTAGATTGCATGGAATTTCGTCCTGGAGAAGGTGTATCGTTCCGGGCCCTTCTTTTATGGGGTGGGGACAGATCAACATCTACTGCTCTGGATGGATTAAGTTTCAGTTCAGGAGAAGGTGAATCATTGCGACAAATCCCTTTGCAAGGAGGTGACAAATCCAAATTTTGGTCATCAGAATTCAAGTTATTCTTTGGAGCGTCTGAAACAGAAACCCAACCACTTCCATCCTCTGAAATGGCACCAAATGGTCGTTTGGCTCTAAGCTGCTCCAGTCTCTTCATGCGCTTGACTTCAATATCTTCATTAATCATAGGCGTCTCATCATCTGTATCAAAACACAATCAGTAAAGTGAAACAGTTAATCTAAATTAAATAAACGCATAATACATTACATTACATAATCAAAGTAGAATAAAAATTGCCGGATTACCAGCTGAGTCATCCTCTTCCTCGTCAACGTTAACTGGTTTTTCCCAGACAGGATCTTCATCAACAATGAGAACACCTGTGGTGTTAGATTTGGCTTTCTTCTTCTTCTTCTTTTTCTTCTCCTCTTCATAACCACTATCATATTTTCTTAGATAATCTTTCAGTGAAGATGTGTTAGATGATGGTGCTACCATGCTACCTTAATAACAACTCCCTGCATCATATATCATTGAAAAGTAACTAGATCAAAAAAACTATAGAGGAGTGTATATAGCAGTATTTGTTAGCTATGATTTTGTCCACAACAGAAAATGTATCCAGAATATGTCTGCATTTTGAAACTTGAGTATGTTGAGGATTACAACCTAGCACTATTTCATTCTTGTTGAGTAATTGTGATGTTCGGACTTTGAAGGGTAGCGGGCAGAGGCGGATCCAGCAATCTCGAGCCATGGGGTCCCAACTCTTTAGCTCCGATTTAATTTATATTTATTCATACTCTATATAAATCAACTAAAAAATCTACTGTTTGAACAAACACTCATGATATAATTCTCAAACTGATTGTTCAAAGTCATAAATTCTACATTATAATTTTTTTAAAGCTAAAATTCAGTCATCTCAGTAATTATCTCTTGTCAAAGGTCTCAAATGAGGATGAAAGATTTAGACATATCCCTCTTTTCCGCACTTTTAAAATTAAAATAAATTGTAAACAAGCTGATCAGCTAATATTACCTACTTCTAATAAAAAGTTACATTTGTGGTTATGTTAATCCGTGGTCTCTACTCTCTAGTATGGAAAAATGCAGCGGGTGAAGAGCACTCAATTACTAATTTCATAAGGAAAACCTATAGAAGAACACGAAGTTTGTCTTGTGCACTCCATTAAGCTCTGAGTGACTCAGTCACAGTGTTTAGACGAGGTACTACACACTAGTCATGACTTCACAAGTCCAGATAATTACAGTATTTAAATACCCAGAAAAAAAACGGAAAACAAAATGATATATTAACCAAAAAATTCAAATAAATTTTTGAATAAGGTGATCAACTGGGTCAGTTCGCATATATTGTACCTACGATTCATAACTTCCCTTAATTAAAAAATAAATATAATTAAACCAAAAAAAATTGCTAGAATAAACACTGCCCTCAGTCAGCCAGGAATATCGATTAAATGGCAACCGCTTGACCTAAAATCATCACCAACCTCAATTGAATTCATTTTTTTCAAATCCACACGCTTTTTTCAACTCAATGACCTCATCATTGTCCTCGATTAGCCTATCGCATTGTTTTCAATTAACCTAAGATCAACTGATGAGCAGAGCAAATTACCTTAGAGAATGGATTAACCGGTTGAATGCGAGCACACCCGGTTGCGGCGGTCGGAAGAAGTGGCTGGTAGCGGAAGGAGGCGGGCCACGGCACGGCGAACGGCGCAGCTAGGGTTCGGAGTTCCTGCCGTCGGTCCTCTTTCCGATTGGGTTTCTGGGTAGTCGTCTAGACGAGAAGGAAAAAAAATATGCATATAATTGATGCTTCAAGAGTTCAAGTTAGTTGCAATCGGATTGGATAACTGAACCACCCACCCAATATGTTGGATAACTAAGGCATGTTCCGTTCAACTTATTTTTTTTTTTTTTACTTTTTTTTTATTCTTATTAAAATTAGATTAGATCAAATCAGATTAGATCAGATCAGATGAAATGTAATCAGATCAAACCAGATCATATTATTATTATGAATCTCTTTCATTATATTGATGGGGTTGGGTTTCTTAGAGAGAAGGGGGAGTTTCCATCTGCAGCAGCGCAATACTGATCGCTTTGATCATGATGAATTTCAGAATACTTTCCAACATAATGGATGGAATCATACGAGAGGGAGGCAAAATTACAAGCCCAATTGGGGAGACGATTGGAAGAAGTCCAGATCTGGAGGGAGAGCAAGAAGTTGGGTTTGCACAAACCCATCTCGATATCAAGGGCCCTATAAAAGGGATTCGGAATGGAAAAAGTCTCAAGTAGCCTAATAATTTCTGAATCCTAGAATGGAAAAAGTCGTTTTCTTTCTATTCCGCGTTCAACTGCTACCTGGTTATCTGAATCCTTAAGTCACCCACCAATAGCAAGGGAGTGTTGGGTGATTTCACGAAAACTTTTCGTGTAGTTTTTTAATATGTAATTTTTTATTTTTTATTTCTTTACCAATATGTAAATAAAATGAATTGAAAAAACTCGATATTTTGCTTCGGTAATAGAAATGTGACAAATAATTTGAGATGGAGGGTGTACTACTTAGCTTGTAGACAAATCATTAAGTCGCAAATTAATCACAGTCCAATGCACTAAAAACTAGAGGACCAATGACATGGAACAATTTATTGGTCTCGTGATCATCCTCTTGTTTTTTCTTTTCATTCATTCTTTAAAAGCAGTCCTGTGAACCGATGGTTGCCCCTTTTGCGCTTGTTTTCGCTGGTGGATCATTGATGTCAGTCAGTGTTGGCTAACAACCACCCGTGACCCCTAGCTATTCTTTCTATAGTAAAATGCTAGAGTGCCACCATATAGGTGCTACCATAGGTGCACCTATGCTTCGCACAGACAAACACAGACGATAATTGTTTGTGTCGCACAGACAATTATCGTCTGTGTTTGTCTGTGCGAAGCATGGGTGCACCCATGGTAGCACTCATGTGGTGGCACCCTAGCATGGTCCCTCTCTCTATCTCTCTCATCATTATTCTCTTGTAGTTACCACATTCAAGTATTCAACCATTCTAGATCCTAACTTGTATTCCAAAAAAATGTACCGACATTTTAATAGTTCACACTGTCAAAAAATATTAGTTCAATTAAAAAAATTTACACCGATATTTTTGTCAATGTAAATCATCACAAAAGCGTCACACTAGCCTGAATTAATTTTTTTGAGGACCTAGCACCCTTTGTTTAAAAATGGAGGCAAAGGTAGTCTCAATATTTTTTTAAAAATCATAAAAAAAAATTAAACTAACAAATACTTCCCCTCCATAAAAGAATTTTCTAGTTTGACTTTCTCAATCAATTTTTTTTAACCTTTGATTTTGAATGACAGAGAAGATGTATTAAATTATCATATACTCCATCCGTCCGGAATGTTCTTCCCGTGTTGACTTGGCACGCTTATTAAGGAATAGTAAAAAAATGCAAAATTTTCAAAAATGCACATACTATAAACTTTTAAATCTCCTTTTATTATTAAAAAAGTATTAAAAAAGTAGATTTGTGATAAAATAGAAGGGTATTATTGATATTTAGCCTTAAAAAGCATACTAAAAAAGGAAATGGGAAGATTATTTCCGGACGGATCAAAAAGGAAAATGAGAAGAATATTTCCGGACGGAGGGAGTAAATTTTACATATTGTGATCCAAATGTTTGTGGGTCTAGAACTTTCCTGTTTTGCTATCTCCTTTCTTTTGTTTCTATAGTTGCGTGTAAAAATTAAAACTAATACAGAGTACATTACTTTTTTTTATAACAATATGCTAGTAAAGAGTTACCAATTCAAAGTATTTGAAACGTATTTTTTCAAATATCAATCTAATACGAGGCTATTAGATTTGCTTTAATTTAAAACATACTCCGTATTTTGTAAATGATACTTCGTGTATTTAAAAAAAAGAATTTTCAATTGTGAACATAAGTGTTATTAATGATCAAAATACTAAAGCTCCGTTCCGTTCAACTTATTTTTTCTGATCTGATCTGATTCTAATAAGTTCTGATCTGATCTGGTCTGATCTGATCTGATCTGATTGGATCTGATCTGATCTGATCTGATTAGATCTGATCTGATCTGATTGAATCTGATCTGATCTGATTGGATCTGATTTGATCTGATCTGATTAATTATGATTTAATTTAAAATTTCAAATCAATAATTTAATTTGACTTTATAATAACGTTTGAAAATTGTAATGATAATTCATATTATAATATAATCAATATTTTTTTATTTAATGCTTATTTTTTAATAAAATAAAAATAGTTAATTCATATATTAGAATAATCATTCATATTATAATGTAATAATATTTTTTATTTTATGATTACTCCCTCCGTCCCTAAATGGATTACAATTTTTTTTCTCTCCTCTCGATAACTTTTGTTTGTTTACATGATTTCATTAAGTATTTGATAAAATAAAATATTCTTGTCATCTCTTGTTTCGTAGAACTTTTGACGTAGTTTTTTAATCTATAATTTTTATACCTTATTGATATACCAATTTGTAAATAAAATGATTTCAAAAAATAGGAAATTTTACTCCGTAACCCGCAATTTGTAATCAAATTGGGGACGGAGGGAGTATTTTTTTGTAAAATTAGAATTATACATTAGAATAAATATTTAATTTAGATATACATTAAAAAGTAATTATATTTAGATAATCAATATATAGAAGAGATAGTATTTTTATTAAAACATATCATCCTTATAAAAGATCAAAAGTTTAGAAACTCAAATTACAAGTAGCAATAAAAATATATTTTAAAAGTAGAATTAGATTGACATTGTCAATGTATTTTAAAACTAATTTTTCCAACGTCTAATAATTAAGGATTACTTTCTCGGTTTTTTTTATTTAACCTATTTCTAAAGTTTATTCTTTTTCATTTTTAAGAACAACAACAACAACAACAACAACAACAATAATAATAATAATAATAGTAATAATAATAATAATAATAATAATAATAATAATAAGTGTAATAATAATAATAATAATAATAATTCTTGATGGGATCTGATTTTAATAAGTCCTGATCTGATCTGATCTGATTGGATCTGATCTGATCTGATTGGATCTGATTGGATCTGATCTGATCTGATCTGATCTGATTGGATCTGATCTGATCTGATCTGATTGGATCTGATCTGATCTGATCTGATTCGATCTGATCTGATCTGATTTTAATAAGAATAAGAAAAAATAAGAAAAAATAAGTTGAATGGAACGGGGACTAAGTTTGAGATCATAAACAGTCAAAGTGATGTGAGAACAAAATTGTACAGGACATAAGAAATATGTATAAGAGTCTTAATTGATTTCTTTTGCTGTATGTGAATTGATTTTTGAGACTTCAATAATCCAAATTATGTCTCGTGATTAAGAATGTCTCGTTGACATTCCATTCCAAACACTTAGGCTGTAATTGCCGTCATTAAATTGTTTTTACCTTATCTGATACTTAAAAAAAATTCAGATTTTAGCTTTAAGCAAATAACTATCTAGCATGACTTATATATATATACTCTTGTGTTATTTTTCTTTAAAGTGTAGAATTCTAATAGTAACCACTTTCTTATAAAATACTAACAGGAACCACTTTTTCTGTATAAAATTTTAACAAAAACTACTCCCTCCGTCCCAATTTATAGTACTTGCTTTGGTTTACGATGTTTGACTTAAATTATTTTCAAATCATTTTATATGACAAATGGTATATAGAGTTAAAAAATTAGAATTATATATTAAAATACTACATCAAAAGATCTACAAAACTAGTGGTGATAATAGTACTTTATTTTATCAAATTGATAACGAAAATAAAGAAAGAAAATGAATGAAGTTTGACCACATGAATAATGATCAAATATGCACTACTATAAATTGAGACGGAAGAATTACTTTCTTAAATACACTCAGGTACAAAATTAAAAGAAAACTTAAATTAAGAAAGAAAATGTCACATGCAACATCTTCTGTTGCGGTTTCAATAATAAGGCCAAAATTGTGCTTAAAAAATGGCACACACATTACAAAAATTTTCCACCCAACATAGCTATATAATATGCTACTATATACACATATATTGTCTATATATAAATGATGATATATGTCTATATACATATAAATACTACCAAAGTAAGTGAAGCTATTGCCATATATTTCCAATACAAACACCCCTACCCACCCAGAAACAGCAAGCTAAGCTAAGTCCAACGTCTCTTTCCTCTCCTTCCTTCTTTTGTCATTGTGGAGTAATAATTATATATAACAACAACAACATTACAATGCCACAACCAAGACTCAGGCGGGGCATTATGGTCTTTTCGCCGGCAGTGCTCTTCTTCTTCCTCCTCTTCTTCCTCCTCCTCGCAAAGGAAACGGAAAGCAAGAAAGGCGGCGGCGGAGGAGATGGAGGGAGAGTGCTGGGCGTGAACCTGACCCAAGCAGAGCACTCAGAACAGATGTTCATGAAATGGGTGCTCTTCGTGGGCAGCCTGAAGCACTCTCTCTTCAAGGCCGCCGCCATGAACAGGCTCTTCCCAGCCATTGTCCTCACGGTGGACAACAACCTTGCCCGTGGCGGCGGCGGCGACTTCGCATCCATTCAGGAGGCCGTCGACTCTCTTCCTTTCATTAATATCCTCCGCGTCGTCATCAATGTCCATGCAGGCGTTTATACGTGAGTATTTTTTTCAAGTAATTTTACGACCTTCTTATTATAATACTACCTCTGTCCCAGTATATTTGTTCAGTTTGACTTTTTCGAGTTAAACCAGACAAACTTTGAACTCCAAGTACTCTTAATTTGTATTGCATATTAGCATAATGAAATAAAGTTTTGAAAGTTCTCAATATGATAAATTCAATAAAGTCATTTTTATGTTATAATACATTACGATTTTTATTTAATTGAAGCTCAAAGTTTATCCTATTTTTGAAATCCTACTCGTACAATTACCGTCATTTATCATTGGTCAACCGTCTAGAGTTTTTGTTTACAACTTATTTTATGCAGTAATTTTTTTTATATTTTTGGTATTTATATATTGGGGACACGTGAAATGGGATTGAAAATAGAGTATGTAATAAATAAATTCAGGGAGAAAGTGACAATACCACCAACAAAATCATTTATCACAATACAAGGGGCCGGGGCGGAGTGTACGGTGGTGCAGTGGGGTGACACGGCCCAAACCATTGGCCCAAATGGGAGGCCTTTTGGTACCTATGGCTCTGCAACTTTTGCCGTCAACTCTCCCTTCTTCATAGCCAAAAACATCACTTTCAAGGTATATATGTGTCTGGTTTGTCATTAATTAACTAATAAATCTCATTTTCTTTGTCTCATTACTCTCATAATTATCCTTAAAACTTTTTGGATTACTCCAGACTTGTCTAGCTACTTTATATTATATATGTATTTGTAGAATACGACGCCGGTGCCGCCGCCGGGAGCAATAGGGAAACAGGCGGTGGCGTTTAGGATATCGGCGGACACGGCGGCGTTCGTGGGGTGCAGATTTTTGGGGGCGCAGGACACGCTGTATGACCACATTGGAAGGCATTACTACAAAGATTGTTATATTGAAGGCTCCGTTGACTTCATTTTTGGGAATGGCCTTTCTCTCTTTGAGGTACATTATTATAGTATTCCTCTTTTTTCTTTTTTCTTTCTTTCTTCTTCTTGAAAATCACTTTATCATTTAATAAAAAAAAATTTGAACAATATTTGTTCCTACATTTTCAACCATTAAGACCGTGTTTGGTTGGGGGAAGGGAGGGGAAGAGTAATGAGAATTGAAATATATTACTCTCTCTATCCTAAAATTTTCTTTTCAATCACTATTCACATCGTTAAATTTTAATATTTTTCTTTATCTATTTTCATTATTTCTTTGATTAAATAATGTAATCATGTCACCTCTTCCTTTGTCAACTTTTTTATGTAGCTTTTAAATATATAATTTTTATTTTTTAATTTTACACTTATAATCAATTAAATTGAATTGAAAATAATTTCAGTTCATAAACCGAAAAGGAAAGAAACTTTAAGACAGATGGAGTAATTAGATTTAAAAACAAGATTATTTATGTTTTTTAGGTCAAGAGTGCTTCTATGGCTCACCTTGGATGTATATTATTCATGTGGACTTTAATTTCTCACATAAAAAAAACTTCTCCCTCCGTCCCAGAAAACATTTCTCCTTTCTTTTTTTATCCATCCTAAAAAACACTTCTCAATTCTATTAAAAAGTTACTTTTACCTCTTACTTTTTCATATCCTACCTATCACATCATACCTTTTTACTAATAATCTATCCATCAAATCATACTTTTACCTATCACATCAAAGGACATTTTTGCAAATTCAATACCAAAATGCACTCCCCTTAAATCCCCCTTCAAAATCAAAACTCTCATGTTTTCCGGGACGGAGGGAGTATTTTTTTAGTTTTTTATTAAAAAACGAATGCTTATAATGGACCTTCATAGTTCATACTCCTTCCGTTCTCAAAAAAACTTCCTCTTTCATTTTTTTCACTTCCAACAAAACACTTCCTCTTTCTATTAAAAACCACTTTTACCCTTACTTTTTCATACCTTACCTATCACATCATACTTTTTCTCTAATAATACATCCATCACATCTTACTTTTACCCATCACATCAGGGACAAAATTGGAAGTCAACTATAATTTTACACTTCCTTAATTTGCCTTATTTTCAAAGTGGGAAGGGTTTTCCCAAACGGAGGGAGTATATGCTAAATAAGTATTGAAATAAAAAATCTTAAAATTTTAGAATTAGACCCCGTTTGGTACACAGAATTCAAACTATGGAATTGGAATTGAAGACTTCAATTCCAATATTAGTGTTTGGTAGCACAAAAATTATGTAGATTTGGAATTGGTAGTGTAAAAAATGAATTGGAATTGGTGAATTCAATTTCTATGAAATTGAATCCTATGAAATTTTAATTCCAATTCAATTCCAATTTCATCAATTCCGTGTACCAAATGGACCCTTAAAAAATTTATAATGTGAACTCTTTCTTTTAAGAGGAATGCTAGGGGTACCTCATTTTGTACACCATGCATTCTAACCCTTCATTTATTTTTTTATTTTTAATTTTTTTTCCCTCTCTTGCTTTGTGTGGTGAAGATGGAGGGGGTACAAATAAGGTACTCCAAATGGTGTACCCCTAGCATTTTTGTTCTTTTAAATAACAAATAGATAGTCACCCGTGGGCACGGACCATATTCCAGACAAACACTTTAATTATTCGATGAGATCTATCTTTTGACTTTGCCTATAATAATAATAATAATAGGGAGAAATAATATAACCTTGATTTCCAAACCATTGTGATAATAATAATAATAAGAATAATAATGTGATGATAAAAATAACACCCTATGTCCCCCAAATAAAACCTTTTGAATTTGATGTGTTTTTGTTAAGAGGAATTTACTTAAATAGCACTAAAACATAATGACTTTCCTTAAATAACACCACATGTATTTTTCTTCCCAATGTAGCACTTTTAGTCATTATGCATTAGTCATTATTCAAGTAAATATTCGCCATCACTGGACATTATGGACATTATTAAGTGCTATTTAGAGAATAAAACAGTTTTAGTGCTATATATTTAGTGTAAATATTCTTTTGTGAAACTAATACATACACTAACACTTTGAGCATTATTAAATATTTTTTTAAAAAATGAAATGTGATAAAGAGGAAGTAAGTATTAACTTTGTGGTGGTGGTACGTGGTGGTGTTGACAAAAAAAAAAATAAGTGCAGAGTAGTCATGTACATGCAATAGCACGAGTGACAGGAGCAGTGACAGCACAAGGGAGAGCAAGCCTGCTGGAGGACACTGGGTTTTCATTTGTGAACTGTAAGGTCACTGGGTCTGGGGCATTATACCTTGGAAGGGCATGGGGTCCCTTTTCTAGGGTTGTCTTTGCCTACACTTACATGGACAACATCATCATCCCCAAATATTTCCGTGTTTTAATAAAAATTACTTTTACTCATACTAACTTTTATCCTACATATCACAGAATATTTTTTCACTAATATACAGCTAACACATCCTACATTTATATACCACATTAAGGGTAAAATTAGAAAGTTAATTCGAAATAATTTTTCTCATTGAGCAATATATACATGCAGGACGGTATTTTATGGGCAATACAAGTGCAGTGGGCCAGGGTCAAATTATGCAGGAAGAGTTTCATGGTGTAGAGAGCTAACAGACGAGGAAGCTAAGCCTTTTATTTCACTTAGTTTCATTGATGGCTCTGAATGGCTCAGACTCTAATCCATCCATCTACTATACATATACCTACTCACCAACACATGGAAATTTATTTACACGTACACATTCCGCTGTGCCGGTGGAGACCGTACCGGGACCAAATCATATAACTCTTTGGTACGAATACTCCGGCCTGCCCTTCTTGCAGACCTTAGCTTGCTCTGAACGGGCTGAGGGTTTTCCAATCAATGTGCTAATGGAGAAATTCAGGACCTCGCCAGCCTGCCCTTCTTGCTCAGTTTGAGATGAACTGGCTGATGTCGAGATCACTAGCTACTATGCCGGTGGTGATCGGGACCAAATCGTGATCTCTAGCCTGCCCTTGTTGCTGACCTTGCTCTGAAGAGGTGAGATCTTCAGTAATATCACCTTCCCCATGCCTCGAAGCCTCCAATGAGCATTTGAGATCTATAGGAATCTCGCTGATCATCACAGTTTTTGCTTCCATATTGATTTTTTTCGCCAATCGATACAAAATGTCTAAAATGTAATGTGCACTATGTGATAGTGTGTTTGGAGGCTTCGAGGCACGGGGAAGGTGAGATTACTGTAGATCTCACCTCTTTAAGGCAAGGTCAGTAAGAAGGGCACAGGCTGGAGAACACGATTTGGTCGCGGTCTCCACCGGCGCATTTATCTCGACTTCATCCGATTCATCTCAAGCTGAGCAAGAAGGGCAGGCCGGAGAGGTCCCGGATTTCTCCACCGGCACATTGATTGGAAAGCTTTCAGCGCATTCAGAGCAAGGTCCACAAGAAGGATAGACAAAACCAACCCATTTAATTTATTTACACATACAATTGTAGGAAAAAAACCACATCCGTCAAATAGAAATTATATTTGTCAATAATAAACTTTTTCTTTGCATATATTTTTACGATAACTCAATCAATCATGCATTGTTGTTTTACACAATGCTATTCAATATAATGAATTCCATTCAAAAAATTTCCAAGTTTGGGTAATTAAACCAGGCTAAATTAGCTATCAATTCCAAGGTTTAATTATTTTGTATTCTTGCTTTAATTAGGAAACCGATCTACTCTCCCCATCCACAAATTTACTCATGCCTTCTTTAAAAAATGAGAAAAAGTACATCAATTTCCATACCAATACCGATTTTGAAAAATACTTAGGCCCTATTTGGGGAGGGCAGAACTATTTCTTCAACTGAATGGTAGATTAGTTCTATATCACCAGAATTTGTGGGTTATCAATCTAAAGATTTGATATCTCCTCAACTGTTGACTACTTCTTGTGTCGGTTACCACAAGTCTGCAGTCGCCGCCCACCCAGGACTGACCATCCTCCATTGCCAGCCAACTTTGCCTATAATAAAAAAAACCATGCTTTCAGATATTTTTTAATATATCATTTCAAATTTAAAAGAGAAATTTACATAAATAGCACTATAACATAATGACTTTCCCTAAATAGCACTACACATGTTTTTTTCCTAATGTAACATTTTTAATCATTATACATTAGTCATTATTCAAGTAAATATTTGACATCACTGGTTATTATGAACATTATTAAGTGCCATTTAGGGAAGAAAACAATCCAAATAATATTATTTAGAGAAATAACTTAAGTTTTAGTACGGAGTACTATTTAGGGCAAATATTTCAATTTAAAATTCATACTCCTTCAGTCCCCAATTTGATTACAAATTTTTTTCTCTTTCCTCTTGATAACTTTTATTTGTTTACGCAATTTCATTAAATATTTGGTAAAATAAAATATTTTTGTTACCTCTTATTTTGTAGAACTTTTGATGTAGTTTTTTTAATATATGTACTACAGTATAATTTTTCTTTTTGTCGATATATCGATTTCTAAATAAAATAATTTAAAAAAGTAAAATAATTCTCCTCGTAAACCTCAATTTGTAATCAAATTGGGAACAGATGGAGTATTATTTTTTTAAATTGTAAAATTCATACTCCCTTCGTCCCAAAAAGATTTACACGTTTCAAAAAAATTGCGTCCCATAATCACTTACCCATTTCTATTAAAAAACCACTTTTACCCCTTACTTTTTCAAATCCTACCTATCACATCATACTTTTTTCCTAATAATCTACACATCACATCCTACTTTTACCCATCACATCAAGGGTATTTTTGTAAAGTCAACACAAATTTATCCCTCCGTTAATTTCAACTTTAGTCAAAATGGGTAACACTTTATGGGACGGAGGGAGTATTATATTACTTCTATAAAACTCACCAACGAGTCCTTATAGCTAGATAGGAGCAAAGGGGATTTGGAAATTTTATTAGAACTAAACTTGATGATTTCATTAAACATAAATATGCTATTTATAATAGTTACAGGACCATGACTTTGACCTAATTATGAGTTCATTGCTCTGGTCTGTTACTATCAAATTCTAAGACACATGCTAACACTCTCCCTCAAGTTGAGAATGAGGATCACGAATGAACAACTTGAACAATAAAATTAGGGCTAAAACTATAACTCGACAAACAACTTGGACAAAACTTTGATTTGTTATGCCAACAACGGATGAAGGCAACTGGCCGAGCAAACGGACAACCAAAAATTGATGACGAATGACTCCTACGCGACACGACTAACAAACGTTCCAGATATGAACAGAGTATTGCCGGTAATAGCTACAGAACTATGACCTTGGCCCTTGGGGATACATTCTCAACCTATTAAAACTTGTAGAGTTACTGTCCGCACTGGAGATCGACTACCCCATTTGCATCAGTTTCACTGAAAATTGATACAAGTAGGCGTAGGACTCGCCAACTAACTTTTTTTACATTTGTTATTAGGAATAACTGATGCAATACCCTTTTGTATCAGTAATATAATCGATGCAAAAGACTTCAATCTTTTGTATCAGTTATTAGTAATAATAAATAAAAACCGATTCAAAAGACTATTGTATCTAATTTTACTAATAACTAGTGTAAGAGACTAAGTTAAAATTAACCACTCAGGGCTTATCTCTTACGCAATCTCATTTTTTGCATAATCATTCATTCATTCGTCGTGCCATCGCCATCGCTATTGCGTTCTGCTTCGCCACTTTTGTCGCTCCATCTTCCTCTCAGTGTCGTCGTCCCCTTCGTCATCGTCCTCACCCTTAACTTTGTCGTTGTCGTCCATTGACACCACTAACATCATCGCTCCATCATCCTTCCTTCTTCGTGTTCCGCGTCGCCAGTTTGAAAATTCTTGTCATACATGTTTGAATTTGAAATTTTGTGATGTCAAATTCTGCCACAATAAAAAAAATAGCATAGTGCATCGTTATTTAGGAAGAGCAGTTGCAATAGATCTTCTCGGGAAAATTAGGAAGACCCTTTGCAACAGTTATTTGGAAGTAACTAATGAAAAAAGTCTTTTAGAATTATGGGAAGACCTTTTGAAAAAAGATCTTTCCAATTTTGGCGCTAATTTCATGGAAAGGCTTTTTGCGTTTCTTTTTTGAAAATGCAATGAATAACAAAAGAATAAAGCTAGGGTTTCACCTTTGAAGGATCTGTTTGGGAATAATATTTTTTTTTATTGGTATTAGCATTTTGGATAAAATGTTAACAGTGCATATTAATTTTGAAAATGTTAACGCTAAAAGATGCTTGTTGATAGCCTTTTTAAGATGCTAATGCTAACCTCTAACTCTACTCTCAAAATGATAGCCTTTTCAAAATATAATGCTAATGCCTTTTCTTATTTTGATTATTTAGAATATTAAGTGAGAGATATTTTTGTATTGACTTTCACAAAAAATTAGATGTGATAATTAGATTATTAATAAAAAAAGTACGATGTGATATGTAAAATGAGAATTAGTATGAATAAAAATGATTTTTTAATCAGAAAAAAGAAAGACTTTGCGGGGCAAAGAAAAGAGAAAGGAGATGGAGTTTATGAGACGGAAAGAGTAGAAGTATTTTTTTTCTTATTGAAATCAGTTTTGATTAGATCAGATAAAAAATAACTTTAAATATAATTATATTCGGATGAGATATGAGACTAGTTAAGATTAAAGCTTATTCTAATCAACTTAAAAACCTTTCAAGTTTTGATCATTTTTAAATTGGGAAAATTATCTTTTCAAACGGTAACAAGAAAAACTGCAACTCTTGTGAACCAAACAGAAACTCTAATAAAACCCGATAGACCTATCCAGCTTAGCTATTACAGCACTCTTCAAGTTGACCAATTCTCGCGAATCAGACCAAGACGACGACATCTTCACCCTCGCCGGCCAACTCACACTAGCCCTCGCTTCCGTCATCATTTGCGGTGCCCGCCTCTTCGGGTCGGGCCGTTGCTTGGGCGCACTATGCGACCTCGACTTGGCTCGAAACGCCTCCGTGTCGGCCATGTAGTTCGGATCCCTCCGGCAGCTCCTGAAGCACGTCGAGCTCTCTGAACATACCCTGCTTCCCGGGGTCACCGGGGTACTCTGTACCGCTGGAAAACCCAATTCGCCGGAAACTGGGTAATTCAATCTGTCCCCGGTAGACGAACGCGCCGGGATTCGACACGAGAGAGGTGGGGAAAGTGAATCGATCTCCACTATTTTCGGGTTGTCGTCGTCATATATGTTTGTTCGATCTTCATCACAGCTTTTCCTGGTTTCTTGGAACCTGCGGGCACGAACACTGGCTTGAGCTCTCATCACAGCTTTTATGCTCTCAAATGTCGCCGCCGTTTCTTTTCTCACCAAATACCCTCTCACCGCCGCTTGAATTTTCACCAACCCCTTCAATCCCCGAAGCGCTTTTCTCCCCTGTTTCAATTTTTGCTCTCCGCCGTCAAATCTATCAATTCTAAAATACGAGTTTGAATTTGAAATGGGAATGGTAGTAGGAGAAGTAATTTTCGATGTATTTACCAGGTGTCCTCGGAAGACGGATTGAATTTTGACGGCGGCCAGTGTTTCCCGGAAAAACAGAGCACCGCCGCCTCTGTTGGTGAGCCTGACTACTTCCGCCGCAGCATGTGCGGCGGCCACGGCCGCGTCGGCTGCAGCGGCGGTGGCTGCCGCGACTGCAATGGCGTGCTCGCTCTGTCCCTCGTCGGAGAAGAATGAGCTCAGCCATGCTGCATCGGCTGGGGTTATGTTGGGGGATACGGTGGTGGGGTGATTGCACAATGCGGCGGCTGCGGCGGAGATGCCTTTCCCGGGGCGGCCAAGTGTTACTGTGTCGTCGTCTTTCTTTTCTATCCTTTCTCTTTGCAAATTTTTTTGCTTCAACCCAAACAAGCCCTTAAGCCACCTCGTTGCTTTTCCCATTGGTTTCTTCCTGTGTGTTTCTTACAGGGTAGTTCGAAGGAGGAGAGGGATGATAGAGGAGCTAAAATGGAGAAGAAGGTTTGAAGGGGGGAGAGATGCGGATGCATGTTACAGTGAAAAGCCCTTTTCACAGCTCATAATTTGAAGCTTTTTGGCCATTGTTCAGAAAGCAGTCAAGATCAAAAGAAAAAGAAATATTGAAAGTGATGGTGACCTATGAGTGTGTGATGAGGGTGAAGTCTATTGAATCAACTAATTTAAGATGTGGAAGAATTTATTTAAGTACGACTAAAATATAATGACATTCTTTAAATAACATTGGATATATTTTTTCTCGATGTAACACTTTTGGTCATTATCCGTTAATCATTATTGAAATAAATGTTTGTCATCACTGGACATTATGGATATTATTAAGTGCTATTTAGAAAATAAAATAGTTTAAGTGTTATTTAGGGATATGACTTAAGTTTTAGTACTATTTAATATAAATATTTCTTATATGTTATGGCGGGACTCGATGCGTACATGTGAGTAAAATATGTGCATTAAACTATGTGTTACCTTCTTCGTGCGGGGAGCGACGGGAAGTTACATCTATTATTTGAAGAATCTGTGCAACATAGGTTGGATGAGGGGACATGATTAGTTAGTTAATGTATTTTAAATCGGCTGAAAAATCATTTGAAATTTTGAATGTACTCCGTAGAATTTTGCTTTGCAAAATCACGGTTCACGGGCCGGTGTGATCACGAAAGCCCACAGTTGCTGCAACTGAAAGGGCCCATTATATAAATCATCAGAAAAACTGGATGTGGGCCATCTTTTATCTTGATTTCCAATGCACACTCGGCATTTGGTAGGAATACAACAAAAAGTATGTTTCATTTCAACAAAAAAAAAGGGTTTGGATTTTTTTTAGAAATATTTGCACTAAATAGGACTAAAACTTAAGTCATTTCTCTAAATAGCATTTAAATTGTTTTATTCCTTAAATAGCACTTAATAATGTCCATAATGTCCAGTGATGACGAATATTTACTGACCAATATAATGTATAATGACTAAAAGTGCTACATTGGAAAGAAAAACATATGTGGTGCTATTCAGGTAAAGTCATTATCTTTTAGTGCTATTTAAGTAAATTCCTCTTTTTTACCCTATTTTGATCTTATATTTTTTTATTACGGAGTAAAAAAGATGAACATCCACCGTGGGTGCCCCCTCACCCTTAGCCCTTCAAAATAATGGGGAGGACAAATCATAATATAATCTTAGTTTAATTTTTAAAGAGACGGCCCCATGCTTTGTGCACACAAGAAACTACTCTGTATTACAAAAATATGACTCTCACATTTCCAATGCCGAAATTCAATCCTATAATCTTTGAGCATAAATATACAGAGATATACATAGATCATTTCCCTACTTGATGGTAGGGTAGAGAGAGTTTCTAGAAAACAACCCGAATCAATTACTCAAACAACAAACCTAAAGAAAATCAACCTCGTAGCATGAATAACGTACAAACACAAACACAAGAAGGATTCACCTACATCAGCTGCCGGTAGTAATTCTATTCGAATCCGGCCTTTACTAACTCAACCAAAACCTATTTGATTAAATATTTTTAACTTTCAAAAGTGATCCTCAAGTTCTAAAAGTTATTCCATAAATAGTTCTTTGGTCCAAATATGATGAACTATTTTTTCCACACATAGCTTTGAAGGATCTATTATGAAATAATTTTCAAAAATTGAGAATAATTTATGTAATATCTTAAATTTGTGAATTAAATATGAAAATTCATATGTAATTAAGAACTATTTATGAAATTTGCTTTAATTTTAATATTGAGTGAGATAAAAGAAGCACTACTAACTACTACTTCCTCCGTCCCGAAAAAATTTTCCAGTTTTAACTTTTGGGAGGGGCAGATATAGAAGTTTAACCAAGGCGACATGACGATAATTGAAACAAGTTGGGCTTTGGAAATGTCAACATGGTAGAGCGTAGAAGGTAGTTAAAGTAGGTTCGGTCAGATTTAAGAAAAGTAAAAGCAATGTAAGATACGAAAGTTGAAAAAGTTTTACGAGAGGGAGGAAATATTAATTTAAGACACTTTGACAGCACACGGCAAAACGACATCGTAATATATGAAACCTCCTCGGTTGAACTGTGGAAGGGATAAAACCCTCGTGAAATCCTCTCCTGCTAACATCTCAATGCTAGGGCTGTAGATTATGAAGTGAAGCAACAGTTGCAGCCTTTCCTTCTACAAATTCGCAGGTTATCCTTTCTGGTATAATCCTTCATTAGCTTAGTACTGTTCTTTACTCTGTTGTTCTTCAATTCAAGCTGTCATATCTACACATATTTCCATTAGGTTTTTAATCAGAGGCCAGTATGCTGTTGCAGTTTCACACAAAGCATAAATCTTTATTCATTATGTGCCAACCTGCGCTGCTGAATCACGCATTTGCATTGAACCCTTTAAAATTTCCCAAAGGGTTCAGTCGAAACCACCCAGAGAAGTTCCAATCTTTGAATCTCTGTAATATCCCATTTGATTGCCGGAATTTCTCGAGTGGGATTTATTCGGGGGGTTTCCAATCAATTACTACCAGATCCTTTTCAAGTTCGTATTCGGGTACGGGTGTTAGAGGCCATGGAAAGAATCTACCATGGTTGGCAAGGGATAAGGCTAAACGAGCGAAAGGTTCTGATAAAGTGATGGCAATGAAAGGAAGCCAGTCTTCATGGGAGGAATCGGCAGAGAAGTTCTTGAAAAGTGGTGGGTCAGTTTCTGAGAATGTGGTTAGGAGATTTGGTAACAGAGGGAATGAGGACGTGGATGGAGATTATGGGGGAGAAGTCAAAGAAGATGAAGAAAGCGAGCAAGTTGATGATCCTAGATGGGATAAGATCAAGAATAGGTTTAATAGGATTAAAACGATGAATGGTCCTGATAGGCCTGAGGTAAAGAGGTGGAATAATCAGGAAAGTTGGGGTCGGAAAACTTGGAAGGAGGCTACAGAATCAACAGTACCAAAGATGGTTGGTGAAGGGATTTATGGGGTTGGTCCGGTTTTGGCTGCCTTATCTGCTCAAAGGAGGGAATTCTATGCTTTGTATGTTCAAGAAGGGTTGGACTTGAGTGGAAACAACCGGAAGAAGAAGGATAAGAAAGGGGTTGAGAAAGTTCTGAAGATATCAGAAAAGATTGGGTTGTGTACAAAGGAGTTGTCCAAACATGACCTGAACATGGTTGCCGATAACAGGCCCCACCAAGGGCTAATCCTTGATGCTTCCCCGTTAGAAATGGTTAACATTAAAGAGCTGGAACCTGTTTCTTGTGAGGGGGAGGATGCCCCTCTTTGGGTAGCCCTAGATGAGGTAACTGATCCTCAGAATCTAGGAGCAATTATACGATCTTCTTACTTCTTCGGAGCCTCAGGAGTGGTTTTGTGCGCTAAGAACTCTGCTCCGTTGAGTGGAACCGTGAGCAAAGCAAGTGCAGGCTCACTTGAGTTAATGGAGGTCAGATCTTGCAAGAACATGATGCAGTTCTTGGCATCATCAGCTGGAAATGGTTGGCGGGTTTTAGGAGGTTCAGTCTCTTCAAAAGCCCTTCCTTTGAACAAGGTTGAGCATGGTGGTATCCCTACAATTCTTGTTTTGGGCAGTGAGGGTATGGGTTTGAGGCCATTGGTCGAGAGGTCGTGTACTCAACTGGTTAGAATTCCAGGGAACATACCTGTAGATGTAACCACGAAGGGACAAGATGATGATGATGATGTTGATGCAGAAACAGATGCTGAAGGTTCAAGTGGTAACTTCAAGCGATTCATGGCCGTTGAGAGTTTGAATGTAAGTGTTGCAGCAGGTGTCCTCCTCCATTACTTGATTCGCAGGAACTAGGCGATGGATAATTAGCCAGGTGACAAATTGTAATCCGTTTTAAATTGATTTTATGCATTAATGAGAGCTTGTGGTTACAAACATGTCTTTTTGTGCTAAGTTGATGTTCTTGCTGAGGAAATCATCTTTTCATTAAATATAATGATATTGTTTCCTAAAGATTTTGCTTGGTATAAATCACATTGAATTTTTGCTCTACCCTGTATTTCATTGAATTTCTTCTTCTTCCACAATTTTATGCAGATCTTAACTAGTTTACATTCAAATAGGGATGTGCCATTTTGATTTGCCTTTTGGAAGCTTTTTGAGCCCCTGCATATGTGAATATGACTTGGGTATTATCAGTTAAGGCTTGTTTTGAGTATCTTTTTTTTTTTTTTGGTTAATATTCATTTGCAAACCTTTTGATTGTTCTTTGTTTCAATTCACAATATTTTCTACTCAATCTATTTCATGAGCAACAAACACTACCTTGATCCCAACAAAGCTTGTAAAATGTGTATGAGTGAGAGTATTCAGAGTATGATCCCTATAGTGCTGGGCAGTTGTGATCCACTTTTTTAGGAGTAAATTGTGGATCTCCCTACTCATTTTCATCTATTTTGCCCCTTGCATCCCACCCCAGCTAGACTAGACCTCCCTGGGGCGGGGTGCATGTGAGGTTGTGGGAAGATTAGGAGAGATATTGTTCATCAATTTTAACATATAGAATGCTTTGTAAAAACAAAAATAACAACCTTTAATTATAAAAAGAATATTAATGAATAATAAGAATAACAATTTTAACATAAATATAACAATTGAATAAAATCGAACAAATTTGATCATCAATGTTACTAAAAAATTATATTGCATATTAATAAAATAAGAATTTTTTGATTATTTTTAGGCAAAATAAATCTAATAAATTCTTTTTCATTAATGAGCAATATACTTTTTATTCAGTTGATGATTAAACTTTATTACAAATACAGGACAAATGGGGGCATATGTTCATCAAGCCAGGTGACATCACACTCTTTGATTCTCCGCCATGGAAGCGATTTTTTTTTATGGTTTTGTTTAATCGGTCTTTGACTCATTTATCCCATGTAGCAAATTGAAATGGGGATGGAGAATCAAGAGTGGCTGCAAACTCTTTTTCTTCGCTCAAATCTCTATAGAATTTTTTGATGAACTCTTCAGCTTCCACATCAACCTCATGATGATCATCCGAATTCTCCGGCGAATCCATCAAGAAGGGCGAATCCGTCACCCGCAGCTGCCTCACCGGTGCAGCCACCAACGGCGACGCGACGGGCCCGCCATTGTTCATTATCTCCAAAGCCCTCCGCAAAACATTTCTAGTATTATAGTCCTCCACCTCGTCCTCGTGGGCCCTACCCACGAGACTGTAGTGCCCGCGGTGGTGGCCCATGAGTTTGTTGAACATGGACCCACGCGGGGTGTTGCTGCAGCTGAACTCGTAGTACTGCGGTCGGACGACTTGGACTGAGTCGTCTGACCTGCAGGTGAGAGCAGCGCCCAGGTGGCGGTGGTGGTGGTGGACGAGGTGGGTCAGAGCTTTTCCGGCGTGTTTGCCGCGCTTCAGGGTAAGGGTGAGGGCGACCTTGAGGTCGAGCATTAGCTTGTTCCTCTTTGACATCCCTTTCTTCACAAAGTAGAAAGTTATCCTCACCATGTTCCATAGCTTCTTCCCTACTATTCTTGGAGCAATTTGCTCTATCTCCATCTCTTTTCTTTTTTCTAGAGAGAGAGAGATAGAGATGGTGAGGAAGATGAAAGAGGAAGAGAGACCTTGTGCTTGATCCAATGTTTATTTTTGGACACTAACAAATGTGTTAGTGGGGATCCATATATATAGACCTTAGCTATATTCTCCTCTCACCTAATCATCATACTTTACTATTTTTAGAATATAGACAAATACTTTTGATTTAGATTTAAAAATCTATATCATTTCTTTCAAATTTCAAAGCTCGTAGTTTATCAACCGTTAAAAACTCATCAAATGAACCCTTGTAGCGTTTATAAAAAAGTCCGGAGTCTATATTTATAAATCTGGAGTATGCCCGACCAAAAATAAATGAATAACTATTTTTTAGTATGAAGTATTACTCTGGTCCAAAATACATCGTCTCAATTACTATTCTGTCAGTTGATAATTTGTGTTTAGCATTGTTTTCATTAATTATTTAATAAAATTAAACATTATTGTCACATTTTTATAATAAAACATTTGGATATAGTTTTGAAATATACTCCGTATAATTTGTATTTTTTATTTCCGTACCAATTTATAAATAAAATAATTTTTACAAAATGAGATTTTGTACATTATTTCAATTATTCAACATTTTTTGGAAACGAAAGAGTATTTTGTAGTCGAAAAAAAGTCAACATGGTTATACGACAAATTAAATAAGATGGACAATTTCTGTTATTTTCTATACACAATATTCTAGACTTTAAACTGCATACTTAATGTAACTAATACCCCTAATTGCATACTAGAGTAAAATAAATACGGAGTACTTAAAAACTGACCAACTAAGCTTTCTTTAATTAGCACGTTTTTTCTATTTGGTCTCTCCTTTGTTATTTTATTGTGCACATTTCTATTGATAAAAGTGCACTCTAATTCAAAATATTTATCCTTATTTAAAAATTATATCAAAATAATATAATTATTTTTACGAAAATTTTACATAACTTCTTGACTTTTTTTCTCGATTACACTCCATATATAAAACATCGTCACAGTACAAAACTTGCACTTTTAGTCTCTGAAAACCCGAAGTTCTCCAAATATGTACTCCCTCCGTCCCAAAAAGTCTTTCCTGTTTCTTTTTTGCGCATCCCATAAAACACTTCTAACGACATCTAAAATGTTTAAAATTTACAAAATTTCTTCTTTTTTGTGGGTAGAAGTTATTTTGAAAGTTTTTTTAGCATTCAAGACGGGATAGAAGTGTTTTATGGGATGCGCAAAAAATGAAACAGGAAAGACTTTTTAGGACGGAAGGAGTATTTTTTTTTCTTTGAGATAATAAAAAGGCTAGGGTTTTTACTTCTCAGGTTTCTCTATGCCAATGGTGGGTAGCTTGTGGATGAAAGAGTACTTTTGAAGAGCCCAAAAGGAATGTAAGTAGGAAGCTGCTCTGTAAGTACTACTTTCACAAGTCACAAATACCCAAAAAAAAAAAGTTGGTGAGCAATATGCCATACTTTATTAGCTAGTCTCTTTTATTCTAATTTGAACTTTAAAAAAAAAACATTTAAACTTCTTATTTATTTAATTTTCAACAAAGTTTAAGAAACAACTAAAGTTTCTTAAAATGACAATAAAAGTGTGGTTGAAATAAACAGAATAAAAATAAATTTTGGTATAAAATATTGTAATCGAGTCAAAAAGCACTAAAAAATTATATCTCGTAATTACTAGTCACCAATTTAATTACATTATTACACTCAACGTCTAAACCCATATTAGTCAAAAGACTTTGGTACAAAAATTCAAAAAGCATGCCTAATTCCCAACTGTGCCAATATAATATAGACTAGAAAATAAATTAAACCTCTAATTGTAAATTGTACGGAGTAATAGAACGTCTTAAAGTAAAAAAGACATCCTCGTAAAATAAACCATGACAGCTGCGCACCTGCACTACATATAATTCTACGGAGTAAATAAAAAAATAGGAGCAGTATTGTCTCCATCCCCCACTATTATTTACGGAGTACTCCCTTTCAATTAACTTTTTCTTTTTTACTTTTAGCCAAAATAAAAAAAAGTATATTTATGATTGATCTTCTAATATTGCTCATGTTGTGATGAGTAAAAATAAGATGTGATAGTTAGATTATTACTCCTTCCGTTCCAAATTATTTGCAACGTTTGCTTTTTCAGCAGTCGCGGGAACTTTTGTTTATTTCTACGTTTTCATTGGTTATTTGATAAAATAAAATATTCTTGACACCTCTTATTTCGAAGAACTTTTCATGCATTTTTTTGATATGTAAATTTTATTTTTTATTTTTATACCAATATTTAAATAAAATGAATTGAAAAAACTTGATATTTGACAAATATTTAGGGCATATGGAGTAGTAAAAAAAATATGATTTGATAGGTAGGGTATTAAAAAATATTTTCGGAAAAAAATGATTTGAAGAGGGAGAAATAATAGAAGAGACATTTTTTCGGGAAAAAATAAATAAAGGACACATTTTAAAACTTTTTAAAATGAAAGAAGGGAACAAAGATACATTTTGACACGGTTCAAAATTAAAAAGGGTAGTAATTAATACAAAATGGTTTGTTGCTAGCTGGTAACCATGTTCTAATTTAAGACTTTAGGCTAAATACTCCATTGATTACGCTTTCCGAGAATGCTAATTTTACCTAAACCTGCTTAAAAGGTACTTTCTCTGTTTCAAATTTGATGCTCGTAAATTTTAAATATCAATTTAAATAATTTTTAATATAATTTGACAACAATTAATTTTATTAAATAATGAGAATTATATTTCTATATATAGAAAATATATGGAGAATCCTAACCAACGTAGAATAAGAAATTATACGGAGTATATGGTAACAATTGAAAAAGGAAAGTAAATGATACTACGGAGTAATATTCTATTTCCTAATATCTCTGCAAGTGTTGATCATTGATAACAAGAAGCAGCTTAGATCAAGTACAAGTATCGTAATGGAGCCGGTGAGAGCAGTTTTATTACTTTTATCAGAATAGTCACTAGAAGTAGAGAGACAGATTTTCGTAACATGATGAATGGGTTTGATTATACATTTACTGAATTTTTTTCTAGTAAGTGCGTTGACAATTAGAGTGAGGGCAATGACTTTCTTTTTTTGTCTCCTTGTGAGTTATTTATTCTCTATTCTTCTTCAATTTCCCATGCTCTTAAGCTCTAGGAAAAACATAGAGAAATGTAACTTTCTTAATCTTTTATCGCGCACACAAATTTGGTTTTTTAGAGAGAGGGGGGATAAGGGGATTTCTTGGAGAAAAAAGAGAGACGAATAAGGGATGACGACTCTTAGGCACGCGCATAAGTTTTTGGAAAGAAAGGCAGTGATAAGGGACGGTGAGACCATGATCTATATGGTAGTCGACCATCGATGATGAAGACTGACGGTGGCACGCGGTCGAAAGAAAAAAAGCAAGATATTTTTAGAGAGATTGATCTTAGCTCCGATACCATGATACAATATAATACGGAGTAATAATTACTTCCTTCGTCCCTAAAAGAATCTTCCCCTTTCATTTTTTTTGTCCCCAAAAGATGTTCTGTTATCTATTAAAAACCACTTTTATATCTTACCTTTTCATACCTTACCTATCACATCATACTTTTTTACTAATAATTTATCCATCACATCAAGGATATTTTTGGAAAGTCAACACAAAAATATGTCTCCTCTAATTTCCAAAAAAGTCAATAATGGAAACCTTTTCAGGGACGGAAGAAGTATTTTATTAAATAATGAGGATTAAGTGTATATGTATGTATGTATGTATGTGTATATATATATATATATATGTATATATATATATGTATGTATGTATGTATGTATGTATGTATGTATGTATGTATATATATATATAGATTTTGGTTCTGGTGAGAATGCAATCTTAGAAGAGAAATGAGAATGAATCTGGTGCTTTAGATTGTGAGATCTAAGGGTTAAGATTTCATCAAAATTAGATGCACCAAAATGGTGCGAAAATGCATCACGTCGAAATGCACCATAAACCTTCGAAAATGCACCATCTCAAAATCTGAGCGCAGGATGCAATCTGAGCCGCACGATGCATCAGATCTGACGGCTAGATTTTATTCTCATTTCTCTCCACAAGGTGCATTCTCACGAGAACCGACCCCTATATATATATATATATATATATATATATATATATATATATATATTATATATATATATATATATATATATATAATACATGGAGAGTTCTTACAAAAGTAGCTAGAATAAGAAATTATGGTAACAATAGAAAATAATAATAATAATAATAATCTATTTCAAAATATCCATATTATTCCTAATTGTTTTGTTGCATATTAATGCAAATTTTTTTGTTGTATTTTTCTTATATATAATACTTTTAAAATATTTTTTCATTGCATTAATATGTAATACTCTATCGGTTTCAAAAAACAATTCTAATTTTGACTTTTGACAAATTTAAGAGTATTGCATTTTTAATTGACTTTCTTATTCTGTAATTGATAGAATGGTAAAAGTAGGATGAAATGGTTAGATAAATAATGAAGATATGTTGTGAGGGAGAAAGACCAAAGTAGTAGTAAAACATATTACGGGCCCGTTTGGGAATAGCATTAGAGATTAGCGTTAGCGTTTTGGATAAAATTTTAACGGTGCAGATTGTTTTGAAAATGCTAACGCTAAACGCTGTCTGTCGATAGCCTTTTCAAAACGCTAACGCTAATCGCTAAAGCTAATACC